CAGAGAAGTTCTTGTAAAACTAGACCCTCCAAGCCGCTGAGAACGCCACCTCTTTCGACCCGAAAGAACGCCCACGCCCTGACCTTTGAGAAGAGGTTTTTCATGACCCGAACTAGGCTATCCCATAGCTACCCCAGGTCTTCCGGGTCCTAGTTCAGGTCACTTAACCTCTCTCGGGACACGTCCCTTTTCCACATCATGGCTGCCACGTGGATCCGGACCATTTTCGCCGCTCCGAGGCCGTCGCAGCTCCGAAAGAGGGGTTCGCCACCGGGTGAAAGGACGTCGCCAGTGGTGGATGTGAAGCGAAGGCATCTCTTTTTGGTAAATGCAGTTGATGTTTCTGCACCCCTCGAGGGACATCACAAGAAGAACATCCGATGACCTGCACAAGGACCCTCTCAGTTCTTCCGCGCGGTCGTCCGCCTTCAGCCGGGCGCAAGGCAAAGGAAGTGGTTACGAAGCAGTTCCAACAAGACCCACCTCCATCGCCTGTGAGACGTCCCCCTGCCTCTCCTGCAGTCGTTCGAACGAGCCTGTGCCAAGCCTCTGGGCGTTTTCGGCCTTTTCGCTGAAACGCAGTGAGGCCGCGGCCTCAGTCACTCTGCGTCGGATTGAGAGGAGACCTCGGCCAGTGAGACTGGTCAAGGGGCACCGGTGTTGGCCGGCCATGGTGGTACGCCAGAAGGACTGGATGCGATCCAGACATCGTTTTCGGCAACAAGACTGGATCGTTTCTGACAGTCATGCTAGTTGCTCTACTTCAGCCCAACTCTGCCAGCATACCTTTCAGACTAGCTGCTAGCTGCACGGAAAAATCAAGAAACATCGGTACAGCTTCCGTGTGGGTGTCCCCAGCAGCTCCCCAAGTCGAAAGGGTCGTTCTTGAGTTCCCCGTCACCTCTTCGGGTGTGATTTGGGTCTGTTTAGGGCCTCGTTGGTTGGGTCTGCTTTGAATAAGTCGGGTCACTTTCGGTCGAAGGAAGAATTCCAGAAGCGGGTTTTTTATTCTAGAGCGTTTGTTCCTGCAGAGATGCTCTTGGAGCTGTTAGCTGAGCCTTATAGACTTCCCTATGGATCCACATACCGAACCTCAGGTACGGTGATTGGAGACTCTTTATGTGGGCTTGGAGGGCCCAATTACCTTTTGAGAAGGCTTATGGTTTTCTAAAGGTTCACCGCGCCGGGGTGTGAAACTGACCACTGAACACCTCATCTTTTGCAGCGCCGAAAGCGGCACGGCGCGAAGGGAAAGACCAAAGGCATTTGGTGCACCCGAAAAACAAGTACACCCCCAAATACCACATAAGTTGGGTCTCAAGGCTAAGCAACTCATGCTGCTTTCCCACCTTGCTCATAATATACTGAAGCAAGAACTCCTACAGCAACTGTCAAAAGAAGAAGCCCTTCATCGGTTTCGATTCCAGTGGAGGTATGCCAGGCAGAAATCTTCCAACGACAAGTGTCCTGCCAGTTGAAAAGCGCATTCTCCGGTTGTTTGAAGGGAGAAGCCCAGCAGTGGAAGTCATCGAGGCGCATGACTTTGCCTAGGCCTTCCATGTCACGATGCGGCCTTGACCCTTGGAGAAACCAAAAGGAGCTCCGCACCGCCGGTTCATCCTCGCCATTATGTGCAGGCCTTCCACTTAGCCCAGCGGGAGTGTTTTTCCATCCAGACCCCGTTTTTTTCGTTAGGGTCTTACCTGCAACTACGTTTGAGCCGTCATTTGCATTTGATTTCTCTAACTTATGATCACTCGCTGGACACGCGGCTAAGCCGCCTCTTACAACGCCGCTTCTTCGCGGGTTTTTGTCCACAGAGACTTGGCCACCAGACTTGGCCGGCCAAAGCCAGGGGTCGTTACTCGCAGGGTCGTTGACTCTAGCCGGCGCCGAGCTCTGGATGAGACAAGAGACTAAGACCGGCTCTTTGGCGGAAGATTGGCCGGGAAAAGGTGGCAAATCATGTCAGACTCTTTGTCATCATCCAATTCCCCGCCTTTGGATTGTAAAGCCTCCTCCTATTCGGGGTGTGATTCATCAATTCAGCCTTACATTAGAACGACTCCTGAAGAACCTCTAACACACCGAAGAACCTCTCCGCCGCCGTTCTTCCGAAGCCTTCACTGCTCGGAGCGAAGCCCAGTAGGTCTCAGCACTTTCTAAGAGACCGACCGCTGGACCCTGAGGGCTCCAGAGCCCGGTGGCTCCAGGGGCTCCACCGGGGCCTCCAGGTGGTTCCGGCGACGGTCGCGCCTGCGAGCCACGACAGCTCCGTGGTGGACTTCATGACGGGGGTCGACCGGGGTCGGTTGACGCGCACGCTGAAGCAAAGCTGGTCACGGTGAGGGTCGGTCGCCTCGTTTTCAGCCTCGTTGGGTCGAAAAAAGACCCGAGCTATAGGCGAGGTGGGGAGAGGTGGGGAGAGGTGGCGGGTTGGCTTTAGATGGAGTCGTTCTGAAACCCAGATGTTTTGTCATATTGAAGGACTCCTGACTCTCATGCACTGCAGATCCTCAAGCCATGTTTGGACGTCCGAAAAGCAGGAACAAGTCACAAACCGAGCCTTCGCTGAATAGACTTGCCTGTTTGTGTTTAATTGCCTCCATCACAGATGCTGTTCACCTTAAGGAACAGTTGGCAGTTTTAAATTTTAATTTGCACCAGCAAACGTGCTTTGAAGTAACCTATTTGTGCTGTTGCAAGCCTTGGCAGCTTAGGCCTCCCAAATTGTGGACAGTGGTCCATCCAAAGTTCAAAAGGAAGTTCGATGATGCCGTTGTTTCACTCTTGAGACGCCTAGCACACTAGGCCTCAAAGCACTGAGGTGTGCAGAAACAATTCTTATCATCGCAGCTTTAGGCACCAACCGAGATATCCAGCTTGCCAGCCCGTTCGCTGGTCCTATGGGGGCCTTCCAACCGGTCACACACTACCCGGTCGCGTTGGGAGCGAGGCGCCACCTGGTTCGCCACAGTCAGCTGACCGGCAACGGCGCGCGCCCGCCGGACGCGACTCTTCTCGACACGGCTCTGCTCTGGTCACCGCCCTGGACAGCGGGGTCACCGAGACGGACACCGGGGTCAGAATGGCCGGTCTTCGCGCGCGGTCGACGTTTGTTTTGGGTCACGAAGTGAGAACCACTTGGCCTTTGGATCATTACAGGACTGAAGAAGGAAGTCTGTTATATCGACGTGTCCGATCAGATGGGGATGCGCAAGCGTGCGTGTACTTTCTTGCATGTCAACCATCATGTTGAAGCAGTGCGCACTGCGATCCCCAAACAGCCACACTCAGTTCCAGCCAAATGTTCGAACAGATGCCCAGAGCTTCAAGCTGCTGCCGCAGAGATGTTCTAATCGCCGAAAGGTGCCTTCGACCACTTGTTTGGAGGCGCAAAAAGGATGTAAACGAGCGAGCACTGACGTGACGAGCAAGGTGATTTAAGTTGCGCAAACTTTGTTTTGCCAATGTTTCCATGTTGCATGGGCTTGGGCTTACATGTGTTGTGCCAGGTGATTTCATGTGCCATCCACATCTCTCACCTCCTCTGCTCAGCTCTTTCCCATGGCGTTCTTTTAGACTTAATGGGGCCCAACACCGAATGGGGATATCGGATGTATCTTTCGAACATTCTTCGATGGATGCGACCAATGGGGGTTGGGAGATTCGGCAGTTGGAGATGCCATCCGCTTCCAAGGCCGCTTTGGGCTTGCGAAACTTGGGCCCCAGATCATTCCGTCCCGTCATGCAAGCACCTTCAAGCCATGTTCAAAACAGACATTTGCAGTCCGAGTAACTATGATTCATGTTTGAACATGAATTGACAATTGCAACACATCAATATAGTACTGTAATTTGCATTCTGATGATTATTACCAGGACCTTCCAAGAGGTGTCTATGAATAGCCTCTTAGAGCTTAAGGGGTGTCCAAAAACCACCTGTTGGAAGGTCCTGGTAGTTATTATGTTGACATGCATCATTTACATACACACATTCTGGAGACCAGGGTCACAAGGACTCGGTCCTCACTGACAGCCGGAAGACGGCGAGCGCGGAAGGTGCAGCCACCCAGGACGGCCACCGGGTTCACCAACCGGGCGATGGAAGGAGTGGGAGCCTGATTGAGGGCCAAAAGAACTGAAGAACAGATCTGAGAACCACCTGAATATCATGTCACCGATCTCAGGATCTGAGAAGCCCATACCGTCCCGCACTTCCGTCGTGGTGTGGTGTGGAGTAGACCGGTTGACGGGTAACACGGCGACCCTTTCCTTCCGAAGCAGCTGGTGCCAAACGGGTCGGGTATAGGAGGGATATGGATGAACATCAGAATCTTATCAGAACCAGAACCTTCTCATCAGATTCTTCAGTTGAGGTCGCTAGAGGTGTGGGTGTCACCGGATGGGTGACCGTCGGTCCCCGGGTCTCATCGTCGACGATCGACCTGAGGTCGCGACCTACGCCCCCAGGTCGGTGGATGGACGAGACACATGGATTTTCAACGAAAAATGGAAGACCTGCAAAAGCACACCGTGTTTCTTTATGGGGGATTTGGGGCTTCCACACTCAACAAGAACTGGATTCTCCGAGGCTGAGGAAGTCAGGGTAGTTGTCTGGTGGATGTGGGGGATATCTGCATATGAAGCTACATGAAAGGAGAAGAGGTATGTACTTGCAAGAAGACGCCAGCTTTTCAAAGGCAAATTCTCTTTACGGCTGCGCCACAACGGCTCGAGCGTTTACTTGAGCACCAAACAGATGAGGCTTCAGGTGACTGTGGGTTGAACACCCCAAAGTGGTCCAGATTTGGAGGGTGAAGTTGAAACTTCGCTGCTATGACCAGCACTTTCGCAGAGGTCTTTTTTCTTGTCCTTGCCCTATCTTGCCCTGGTCTCACCGTGGACTCAATTCCATTGCTTTGCGGAGCTCCCGCCATGGAGAGTTTTTTCCTTCCGTGCTGGGCTTGAGCAAGAGTGAGCCGGAGCCCACTGGGGCCATGGAGGAGACCACGCCTCCTCTTCCCGCAGCGTGGGCGCTGGATCGGGACCTGTGGCAAACGGCCGGAGTCCACTGGTCCTCCACGTCCGAGGAGGAGGTCGCAGAGGACCCCGTGGAGAAGACTGGGAGCATCACCAGCGTGGCCCGGAACATGGCTGTGGGTCAACCTGATTGACCCCAGGTCGAAGAGATTCCTTTATGTTCAGGGGTGTGATTCTACCATAGTTTGGTCCGGGAGGGTGGCATGACCCGCCAAGTGAGGGGAAGAAGGGTGAATTTTTTAGTTTTTCACCTCTTGAAGTCAACTAGCTGGTGTGATCCGTAGGGAGTGTCCATAGCGAGTTGCCCCAACTTTGTGCTACTAGTAGTCAAATGCCCAAACCTACGGCCTAGGGGGACGATGTTCAGATCTTCCAGCTTAGACAGCAAGCAAATCCCAGGTTTCCTTGAGCTTAACGTTGACGCCGGAGCTTTTGAGGGGGACGCCCTTGCCAGTGGCTCTGAGTGGCTTTTGCCAACATTGGGTTGGATTGAGTGCTGGATCAGAAGGAGGGGATTTGTACAGGCTGAGTAAAGCCGTGAAGACCATCGATGTGTTTTTAAGCCACGACTGGGAAACCTCACGGTGGATGAAGTTGTTGGCTCTGCTGCTCTATTTCAACTCGGAAGCTGCAGCCATTGCGTCCCTCCTCTTCAGCCTTGTGCTAGGTGTTGTGAAGACACAGCTGGGAGAGAGATTGAGCAATCTTTGGATGTTCTCTTGCTACCTGGTCTTTCTCATCTTCCTTTTCTTCTGGCAGAGGATCAGAACCTGCTTTGTTTCGCCTTGGATCGTTTTCTTGGATAAGCTGTGCATCCATCAAGAAAATGAAGAGCTGAAGCAGCAGGGAATTCTCGGCCTGGGAGCTTTTGTACGTGCCTCTGACAAGCTTCTGGTCTTGTGGTCAAGGAGAACCTTCAGTCGCCTGTGGTGTGCGTATGAAGTTGGTTGCTTCCTCAGTCGCACTCGGCCGCAGGAGAAACTCGAGATTCTTCCGGTCACCATCGCAGCCATCATTTATTTGAATGCAATCCTGTGGCACCTGTTGGTGATTTGCTTCCGCTGGACCCTCAGCTCCGTGAATGCAGGAGCCGCAACCTCTGGAACACCTGAAGCAGTGATTTATGTCTGCTTGGTCGTCGTCCCTTTTGCATCCATCCTGCTACCCTTGCTCAATTACTTGGGCATGACGCTCATGGATGATTTTGATCAGCTGCCTCAACAGTTACAAGGTTTTCAGCTGCTCGGACGCTCACGGATGCTGTTGGTCCCTTCTCGGGATCCGGGGCCCCCCATCCATCCCAAGAGTCGGACTCGGCGACGCGTTTTTCAAAGGATCCTTTACTTTGAGTGGTGCCCCAAAAATAGTCTATATTGGATGTCTTGGGACTTCTAGGCTAAAAAAGCCCGCTTGTTTCTTCTTTTCCAAGCCCTTTTTTCCGCCGCGCGTCTTGGATTTCCAAGGATCCAAGAGTGTCGATGCTTCTGTTGCAGCCACCATCACACGCATCCTCTAACGGGGCACGAGATGATCTGCGACCGCCAGCTGGTCTACGCGTCGCTGACCGATCTGTATCGCGTGGCCGCGGCGGATGTGGGCGTCGACCCGCTGGAGAAGTTCAACCGCGAAGTGCGAGAGAGGCTGGGCCCGCGGATCCTTCGGAAGCTGCAGGTGGATCTTCCCATGAGAGACTTGCCCCGAGCTTTAGCAGTTTCAATGGGCTAGCTAATGTAGAATGCCGATGGGTCGGGGCACTTGGATTGTAATACTGTGTCATTTTGCGGGTATATCGACAATTTAATCAATGAGTCTATAATTTGGGGGTTGAATCACCTTGGGGAAGACTTTTCGAGCTTTCACTGTGCGGCCGCACGTCCAAGGATATATGGTGAGCTTGGTGTTGGTGGGCAGCTTGCCTCTTCTGTCCGAGCTGATTTGGGACTTGAGCCAGGGCCCCCAGATGTTGCTGCAGGGGGGCTGACTATGCAGCCTGGTGTAGCAAAGAGATTCTGGAATTTCTGCAGCCATGCATGGCCATGATTTTTGCTTTCACCTTCACCAACCGCTTGTGGAAGTTGCGGAAGGTCCGAGCGTGCCGCAGACGAAAGGTGTGCCTGTCCATTTGCCTTAGTCCTATCCAGGGCATCCTGGCTGGGTCTGTCTGGGCTAGCTTTGAGATGATCAGAGCTATGTCGGAGGAGAGCAGCTTTCTGCCACTCTTGCCATTCTTGGTGGCCCTTGTGCTGAACGTCCTCTTGCACTATGTTTGACTGGTGGCCACAAATGTAGCGTCCCCGGCGCGTAATCTGCTGAACTGGTGGGCTGGAAATCGTCTCAGCGTGTCTCAGCTGGGTTGATTTCTGCCAGCCATGAACAAGTTTTAAATCCACGGGCTTCGACTTTCCTCTCATTTAGATCAGTTTAGACATCACTACCCCCGCCAGCGGTGCATCATTGTAACACCCAAGATTGTAAGTTACACCTTTGACCTTTCGGAAGGTCAGGTAGTAGTGATGTTGTCCGGACATGTTTCGACCATGTTTGGGGTAAGCCGACAGCCAAGAGAAGTCGGGCATAACGTCACGAATCGTCGTCGCAGCCCCAGTCCATCGAGTTCGGCGCGTCCAAAAGACGCTCCGACCACGGGCGGCGACCGGCGAGAACTTCCCATCCCCGAGACGAGCGGGGACTGGCAGATTGGATGGCCAGGGGGTGGTTCGGTAGAGACCATGAAAGGCAATGGTGGTTTGAACCCGAAGATGGTCAGGGTGGCGGGTGGCGATGTGGCGAGGTTCGGTGTGGCGAAGGTTTTCTCTTAGCGCACAGCTCCTGCACTTGCACTCCAGACACAGGGTCCACCACCAGTTGATACCCTAAGGCACCAGGCTTGGGGAGCCGTGCTTTCGCTGGAACCAGAGCCTGGTTGCTGAATCCTTTGCCCAGTTTCTTGTTCTAAGAACCAGAGCCTGACGCAGATACCGTTTCCAGGCTTAGAGCAGGTTTTGGAATATCCAAGCAAGCAGGTGACAGGGTGACCCCTGCTCTTTAGGCAAATCCAAGAGGTCATAGCGTGATCATGAGACAGTTGTTGGTCACACCATGATACTCCGAATAGATAAATCGAATAGATGATAAAGGCAACACTTTTAGACGTCCGCAGACACAGGCCCTGCTTTTTGCACTGCCAGGAGTCTACGGCCAGATGTAGAGCCCTGAGGTTGTGATTTGCAGCGTTGGCACTGAAGGCTGAAATCGAATGACAGATGAATAACGCAAAGTCATGGGACGAACATTCAGATATGAACATTCAGAATGAACATGAAGTATCAGCAGCGCATTCAGATTTAAAGTGAGATTTGGTTTGTGGTCTCATTGCCACACTAAGACCCATGAGCTATATCAGTTGGAAAATCCCGCGAGCTAGTTGCTGCATTACCCATCTAGAGCGCTGGAACCTAAAACCTGAAAAGGCTCTGCTCGCGACGGAATGGTGAAAAGGTCTGCCTGAACTGTATTGTTGAAACGGGAGAAGGAAAGTTAAATTACTTTGCAGGTACAAGAGCTGGCGTCCCAACTCTCTTCCAACTGATTTCCGTAGCTTCGTTGGCACGGATAGGAAATCAGTCTCCGTGCCCCCTGCAAGTCTGTACAGAAGTGTATTAAAGGAAGCTAAGGGTGGTTACTTAGCAGCAATGTGGTCAGTCTGTTTGGATACAGGAGGTGACTACTGTTGACCGTATACGACCCACGACCGAGGCCGATGGGTCATCGCTATGCTGGGTATCGTCATGAATCACCGACGTGGCGACATGGCAGAGACCATGTGGTCTCATGTGAGCGACCGCCAAAGCGTGCAATGACCCATTTGGTACAGAGCGGTCGAACATATCAGGAACTCGGAACGGGGCTAAAACCTGCAAAAGCGAGGGCGGCCCCCCTCAGAAACGATAACCTTGCTGAATCATGTCCTTTGCTTGACGGTACGTTTGGCAGACGCTCAATGTGGTCTCCTCATTCTTTAAATGTTTCGTTCAGCTGCTCAACTGTTTGTAACTACCCGGACGCTCCGTGAAAACAGCCCGACCCGGTGTCTCAAAACCTGGGGGTTGGTGAGAAACCATGAGATCACGGGTTGCTTACACGTCGAGAATTCGGGTCAGGTGTGTTGTCGTGCCTGGGTCGACGACCATTGGGCCATGGTGTTTCAGGGGATGCCAATGCGATTGCGTGAGCAAATAGGTGTGTATATTTTACTTGGGAACCCTCCCAGTGGACACCCCATGGAAAATAGACCAGTTACCCATTGTTTGGCATGTCTCCCTATTTCAATTAATGCGCACCTCGTTCGACGAAAGCGAGAGAACTTGCTCGTTCTCAAAGGGCTCAACTTGCCCAAAGCTGTGTGATTTGGGTCCAAAAACGCTTTTGGTCGGGCGGTCTCCTGCCATCAGTGACACCACCAGCGGCTGGACCGGCATTCCGAGGGTGCAATGTCTCCAAGCTGTGGCAGTTGGCTCGCAAGATTCCAAATGCTCACACTTACGTGCAGTCCAGAGCGCATGGATTGTGGTGCTCCGACATCTTGATTCGAAGACTAAAAGAGATCCTCACTCCGATTCTTTTGGAGACATCCACAATCATCCATACAGCCCTTCCCCAGTTGCACTAAGGGACGTTATCCATCGGAAGGGTGTTACCGTCACAGTAGTTCATTCGTTTTCCCAGCGTCACCCGGTTCTTGTGGTGTTTGGATGGAACCTGCCCAGTCACTAGCCCCTCTGGTGGTGCAAAAACACCCAATTTAATGTTTTATACTTGATTTGGGATCTTTTGTCCTGATTTCGCTCGCCATGGCCTCGTTGCCGAAGCTTGGGGAGATCACCTCGCGGACGTTTAAGGCGGGATAACAGATCGTTACCTAAGTCGAGTCTGTTTGTGATCTCTTCAGGGACCAGTCGTTTTTTCCGAAAATCCTGCGATCGAACAAGTTAGGTCACTGAGTGAAGGTCGCAAGGGAACATCCTTAAACACTGGAAACACTGGTTACCAGTGAACCTTCGTGGTTTTTCCCCTGGGATCCCCGGTACCGACCACTTCGGATGGCCCTTGGAGATGACGGCTCGGACCGAAACCCTTTGAGGTCGCGTCGAAGAGTCCGATCCGCAGAACATCCGCAGATGGGCCCCTTCCACGGTCGCCGTTTCGGTTCGTTCTTGTTGAAGTCGGCTGTACCAACAGAGGTAGCCAGTGACCTGAACTAGGACCCGTAACCAGGGGTACCTATAGGATAGTCTATAGGGTTCTGACCCACCTCTGCTGGTATGCAACGTCTCAGGCATGCATGTTTCTGTTCATTTTCTGCATCTACACCGTTTTCCATGAGTGGCATGTCATGCCCAAGACTGACGCAAACCAGCAAAGCATTGTGATAAACCTGGTATTCTCCTGGTTCTTCAAAGTGACCGAACTTGACAACCTGGTTCGAGGTCACTTAAGCCTCCTGTTTGGGTCACTTAGGAACCTTCAAAAGGTCACTTTGAAGAAGCTGGCTCATGTATTTATTCTCACTACGTAAACTTGCTCCCTCTGTTCTACTTGAACATCCACCAGACAAGTGCTCGTTCGGCAACCCCCAAAACAGAAGTTTTTAGATTTCCGCCAGGAAAACCCCGAGAAAATAGGGTAGCACTCACATCTCAAATTACACGACTGCGTGAATCCTTTGGGTGTGTGCAGCCATCCAAATGTTCTTCCACCAAAGAAAAGGAAGGAATGTCCAACTCTGATATCTTCCCATCCAGATTCTCCCCTCCGGAACAAGCATGATCGCAGTTGCCTTCGAAGGGCATTCAAACAATGGTGGACCTGGGTTTGTAGTCTAAACTCCTGAGTCAAGTGGGCACAGACCCCCCGGTATACGGCACCCCAAGCACCCCCCGTAAGTCCCATCGATCTCAACGGAGGTGGGCCAGGAGCCCTAAAGGTCAAACACATGGCCACTCCCTGGAACTGAATTGGTTACGTGGAACATGGCCCCGAGTTCGGAAAGACCATGTTTTCATCCTTTTTTCCTCTACCAACAGGGTGGTGAACTCCACGACTTCCATCGAACTAGCTCCAGGGAGAGTCTTCTTCGGGATGGGGACCACCGGCGTCCGGACTTCTCGGTGGCATGACCGTGCCAAGGCGGCGCTGGGAGCGCTCCCCGCGGTGCAGGTGTGGAGAGACACATGGATGGAGCGCGAACGCGTGGCAGCTGTTTGGGGAAGTGTGGCAGCTGTAACTAAGAAGCTGCTAGAAGCTACGAACGGTGGAAGCCATCGCTACGAACGTAGCAAGAAACTACTTCATGAGAGTCCTGGAAGACGAGAAATCTCCTAGTCCAACTCTAAGTCAGACCCAGGGTCTGAGAGAAGAAGTCAGACCTTCGGTGGCTTCACCTGGCGGAGCCTCGCTCCAAGCCCTTGACCCCAGAAAAAAACACCGCCTCTTCCATTCGGCCCGCCTTGCGAACTCGAGCAGGTCGGCCTTCGGTGAAGAGCAAAACATGGGGTAAAAGCAGGGTGATTCACAGTTGCCTTACCAAGAGATCGGCCTCTCCAAGAGTCTTGGTTCGAAATTTGCATCCGCAGGAGTGACCGACTTGGGACTTGGAGAGACCGACCAGACCAGGGTCCCTGATGGTCGGGCAGGGGGCCGGGACACCGGTGGGCCAGGTGCGATGGGCTTCCAACAAGAACAACTCGGTCTCCCTGCTGCCCGGGGCGCCAGACGCGGACGCCGCGGACGCTGTGTGGGTCACACCGGTCATGGGAAGCGCGCGGCTTTTTTCAAGCTCGGTGGGTGGCGTGGTCAACGCCACTTGTGAGAGGTAGGGAAAGAAGGAACAACGTGGCAAGAAGCTGTAGTAGGTGGAGGCCATCGTAAGTAGCAAGAAGCTACTATGGTAGCTCCTGGCATTACTAGGTTTCAAAGGTGTTCGCCTCTCAAAGCACTTCGGGAACACAAGCCTCGACTAGGCTTTCGACCCTAGTGTGAACTCTGCGACTGAACCTTTAGCCCCTAAAAAGCATGGTTTGATTTCAGTCTCTTACCTGGTATGGTCTCTTGTCGTCTTGGGGGTGGTTGATTGTATGTGACACCGTAGACCGACAGATGTCGGGGCCGTTGGTTCCTCTGGCCGACCCCCTGAGCCACGTCTCGTGTTCCTCTGGCCCCGCCCTGTTGGATGGGTCAGACCTTTGAGTCTCTATACCTCTCCCGCCCGGGCACGGGCTGCGGCCGCGCCGCCTTCCAACCAAGTCTCCTTCCCGTCGGGGAGGAGGGAAGCTCCGGATCGACCGAGGCAGCAGTTCTACAACAAGCTGCCGATCCGGAAGAAGTTTCGGGTGGCGTTGAGGCGGGGCACCATGGTGATGTGCCCCAAAACTGGACAGGCGCGGCACGCGGTGTTGCCGCGGTCGGTGGCGGAGCTCGGTCGGTCGTGGGGAGATCAGACACGGGGTGTTTCGAGGGCGAAGAACAGAGGCGTAGAGGTGTGAGATGAAGCATCCCTTCCTTCTCACGCAAGGATTGAAAGATATTTCAAGAAGTTCCTAGACTCTCTGAGGTCCTGCTGTAGCTTGGAGTGTGTATGAATTTTGGGGTCTCGATTGATATATATACTGCAGCTGTAAGTACTACTGTAGTGCCTTGGAACCACACCCCAGCCGGGTCCTGCTCGCAACCACCAGTAACCTCTGCTCGCAACCACCTTCGCAGGGGCGACCGGTCCTTGGGAAGGCCCGCCACGATGGGGCGGTCGGGCGGTGCGATGGGC